AGTGGAAGAGTACATACGGAACCCTAGTATTAAATCCCCAGTACTGAGACCTGACAGAAACAAGAAAATCAAAGGATCCTGAAGCCAGGGTTAAATAACCACTGTGAATGTATTAAAGCTAGTGACTTATGCTGAATCAGAATTTTCCAAGCCGCCTCACTGTTTCCTCTTTGTTGTCTTCCAAATAGATATTAGGAAAATTTTTTGAAGATTTTATTGATTATATATACAACATTCTGCTTCCATGTATATCTGCACACCAGAAGAGGGCACCAGATTTCATAACGGATGGTTGTGAGCTACCATGTGGTTGCTGGGAATTGAACTCAGGACCTCTGGAAGAGCAGTCAGTTCTCTTAACCTTGGAGCTATCTCTCCAGCCCCTATTAGGAAAAATTTTAACTGATGATATCAAATAAGAAGAAGCATGTAGAGAAATGTAAAATAAAAAAAGAAGGAATGTAGAGAAGGCAAGTAAGTGGGGGAGGGAGGAATGGAGTCAAAGATTTGGAAAGAATAGCTGGAAAAGACATTTAAAAACAACTCTTTTGAGAGGACATTGATTAAAAACTGTTGTTTTTGATACATTTATTACAAAAATGGTTGTTAGAACCCCTTGATTTAAGCTAAGTATTCAACATCTAGGATAAAATACCTCTAATGTATATGAGGAAAGCCACAGAAACGTAAAAATCAGACATTTATTTTTAGGTTCACTAATTAGTGAACTAACTAAAAAGATTTATGCTCCTGTTTAAACTGATCTATAATTAAGGTAGCTAAGTACAAAGAACTTGTTCCAAAAGCTAAATTAGAATGTAGAAAGAAAAACCTGGGATTTTTAAGCTATTCTGCATTAAGAACACTAACCTCTAAAAGCATGATCACATCTTCCAAAATGTTATTGAGAAGCTATAAGGGGCAAGGTGCTGTGTGGGACATCAAGACAAAGTTTCTCTCCACGGGTTTGTATCAGTCTGATAATACAATTCCCCTGAGTCAAATACTTTCTGAAACTAGTTCTCTTAGATTGTGCCTAAAGGTTGAGTTTTCTAGATAGTGCAGATTTGACTGGTATAACATTTAGGACTTTAGTTTTAAAATAATAAATGGTAGGAACACTGAACACACGTTTATGCTTTTTAAAGTAATGTGGAGTTGTCAGATTAGCCGAAGATCACACCAGTCTAGAGTCTAGTCATGCTTTGAGAACTGACGGAGCATATAGCAGACAATCTGATGTCACTGACCATGGCTTTGAGCTGTTCTTCTTGATCATTATTAGGCATTAGTGATTGCTATTTAATGAACTCTGCTATAAGATTAAGGAATATATTGGTGTTAAGTGTTGAACACTAGCCTTCAGTAAACCTCTGTGAAGAAGGTGCTATTTTATAGGTGATTAAAATGAGATATAGAAGAGTAAAAAGTCTGTGAGTGCTTAGATGCAGACCCAAATCTAGTTCCAGTACCAGATCGTATTACTGCTGTTCTGTAGGGCCATACACTTTTATCTGAATCATGAGGTACAAAACTTGTGAAAGTAGAATTTAAGTTTTGCCACTCATCTTATTCTTTGGCAGAATATGATTTGAAGTGACTTGAAATCATAGACTTTATTCTACTAAATGTAAATATTCATATGTTTCACTGTAGCTATATTATATCTGTATTTTACATCACATAAGCATAGCATATACTCTTTACTTTTTAAAAAGTGGGAAAACTTTCAATTCTGTAACCATCTAGTCCCAAGGGTTTTAGAGGAGAGACATGAACCTACTGGCTAGCTCTTGCTTATCACAGCCTTTTCTTCATCCTACCACTGTGCTTCTAATCTCTTGCTGCTAAACAGCTGTAGACTGGGGAGTTGAAGCAATAAGTTTTTACTACCTACCACCCCCTAAAAAAATCTCAGGTTTTTGAAATTTTTGGTTCATACTGATGCTCTCAGTTTCCTCATCAGGGGTATTTTACTTCTCCATTCCAGAACTTTCTTTTCCCTGTTAAGACATTATTAATAATCTTTGTTAAAGATGGTGTGGTGGTTTGAATGAGAATGGCCCTTGGTTGGAAGTTGTGTGTCACTGGGGCAGGCTTTGAAGTTTTAAAATCCTATGCTATTCCCAGTGGCTCTTTCATTCTGCCTTGAGTTTGTGGATCCAGATGTGAGCTCTCAGATACTGCCCCAAAGCCATGCCTGTCTGCCTGCCTGCTGCCATATTCACTGCTATGAAGGTCATGGACTCTAACCCTTTAAACCATAAGCACCAAATGAAATGCTTTCTTTTATAAGTTGCCTTGGTCATGATGTTTATTTTCACAGCAATAGAAAAGTAATACAGGTAGTAGGGGAAACTTTATTCCAGTGTAACCACTGCAGTGAGGTTTTATAGTAGAGGAAGGAGATTGGGCTCAGCTTTCAAGGCACCACAGACAAGTGGAGATTTATAGCTCAGGAACAGTGTCTGTATGTATGCGTGGGCAAAGGGTTAGTGGGCAGAAAATTACTAAGAGGGATCAGTGCTTGGGGAGATTCTTACTAGATCAACTAGACTCATTCTCAAAACTGCCTGGAATGTTTAGATACCTAAAATAGGTGGTGAGGAATTTGATCAATACCAAAGGAAACCAGACACCAAGGGCAGAGTTTTTGCTAAAATGGCATAGCAAGGTTCTTGTTTCAACTTTTCCAAGCAGGCCAGCATAGAGTGTAAAGTCTGGGCTGTTGAGAGATAGGTTTCAGAAGAAGTGTGATTGAAGGCTCATCTTTGTCAGCTCACAGTGTCATTTTCTGTGTGCTTTAACAAGTGTTTTTGCTGATGTATTTTACCAGAATCTAGAGTATTTTTCTGACCTATAAAGATCTAGATTTATATTTTAACTTAGATAATAGTTCCAAAGAGATTAACTAGTACATTTAAAATTAAAATTATATGGATCAATAGGAATAATGTATATTTGAAGCAAAACTACAGAATCACCTCTAGAAAGTACTTGTTGGAAACTCATTTCTGGAGTACTATATCCCTTCCCTTCTTATTTGGGGTGGATATTTCAAGACTAACATATGCATTGGAGTGCTAAGGAGAAAGTGAAAGAATCATACATTAAAGATTTACCTACCAAAGACCTTCAATATATTCTCTCAGAATGAAGGAAATAATGATTTAAGAGTAATCTTCATTCTAACTAGTTTAAATATGGAAATGGGGTCCAGGTTGGTGAGGAAGAAAAGATCCACAGATGACTTTCAAGAGTGGGTACTTTTGTTTCCAGCTTTATTTTGTAGAAAGAAAAGGAAGAAGCCAGATATGGAGTGAAAGCATTAGAAAATATTGTGTATGAGTCTCTCAGTTGCTGCCTTTTTTATATAGGGAAAAATTAGGAGCGTTTGGAAGAGAAAAGTTTGGAGGGAAGCACTGCTTCCCTCCCTCAGGCCTGGTCTTGGCTCATTCCAGAACAGCTTCCAGGGAGTGAGGAACATCAAGTTCGAGGGAGATGGGATAGACTCATAAGTGTCACAGGGTGGAGGACCAGGGTTACGTGCTATTAATGTTGCTTTCACAAAGTCTGACCCCTGCCTTACAGATTAGGGCAGCTAAAGTTCAAAGGCATGGTAAAGCTTAGCCAATGTTTCACAACCCCAAGATGGCTGACTTGGGGCCAGAGGGTATTTCTGTCCCCAAAACTCATAGCCTTTATTTCACACCTATTCCCAGCTGTAAGTTTGTAACAGGTTTAGGGGGCTGCTCTGGCCACAAGACAGTTGGGAAAGGGCTCAGGTTTCCTCTTTTAGGTGCCAATGCCTTTTTTCTCACCCTGCCTGGTTTATGTGAATGCACAACCAGCTCCAGAAGATTCCCTGACCATGTATTTCCTGTTACTTTATCTTTATCTGATATGTAATATCCTAATCTATTTATATTAAACATATTAATGGAGTACATACAATGTTCAGTATGTATGATGTTAACATCAGGCTAAGCACATTTCTCTCCTTTAACATTGGATCTTTTCTCCTGACAAACTTTCAAAATCCTTCAAGTTGTTTGACATGTATGGTGCACAACTGTTAGCCACATTGTACAGCATTACACCAGAACTTATTTCTTCTAAGTTCAGCTTAGTAACTGTTGATAAAATCTCACACCATCCCTATTGTCCCCAACCACTAGAAGCCATCATTCTAGTCTCAATTTCTGCTATTCCACAAGGGAGTGAGTTCACATGCTACTTCACTACTGTGCCTGCCTTATCTCACTGCCTTCTGTATATGTTTTCCTTCTTGGACTTGTCATAGGGGATCATCCACCTAGGAGTACATTATAAGCTATTTCTCATTACAGATGGTGGTGAGCCACCATGTGGTTGCTGGGAATTAAACTCAGGACCTCTGGGAGAGCAGCTAGTGCTCTTGACCTCTGAGCCATCTCTCCAGCCCGTTTTGTAAGCTATTTCTTTGAGGCTTAATAGTCCTGTGCCTTCGATCCCCTTGTTTGGAATCACAGAGATTCTGCTTCCTGGTGGGGAGGGGGAAACAGAGCAGTGTGTTTCCTAAAGAAACATTGGAAGAAAACTCTTAACAAATGGTTGCACACAATAGCAATATTTACAGAATGAATGGATCATGTTGCCTCCCAGAAAACCACTATGAGCTGGAGCAGATTTACATGTTGTACTGTTTCTGTACTTGGCAATTTCCACACAGTGTTTATTTGGAAAAGAACTCAAATTATATCCCAGGTCACTTTTATATTGTGGCCAGTAACAGTAGGTACATATTTGTGTTAAGAAAAAATGGCTTTCAAAGTTACCTCTTGGAATAAATGTTCTTTTTCTCTTCTAATTAAGTGGTTCCTATTTCAGAGAATAAAAATTTATCTAGATGTTGTTACATTACTTAATTTTCTTTTCCTGACCAGTAATAATTCTGTTAACACGAGAACATTTTATGTTTCTCTGTGTTAATCTTAGGGAACTTTTTCATCTCTTAATAGGAAGAGATAATGCATGTGAAAAAACTTCATATATGTTTCTGCGCAAGGAGCTTCCTGTACGACTGGCGAACACAATGAGAGAAGTTAATCTTTTGCCGGATAACTTGTTGAACCGCCCTTCAGTGGGATTAGTTCAGAGTTGGTAAGTAAATAAATGTTGTGATCACCCTACAATGCTTGAAACATTTTGGCATTGGAACCATTTTCCACAAAGGTTTATATACTGTCTTTCTGAGAATGAGTCATTTAGGATAGCTGGGTTTTCCTTGCATTTAAAAGATTTTCTTTTAACTATTCATTTTAAAACTGGCCAGTTAATGGTGGTGCATGCCTATAATCCCAGCACTTGGGAAGCAGAGGCAGGCCAGATTTCTGTGAGTTTGAGGCCAGCCTGGTCTACTAAAACAAGTTCCAGGACAGCCAGAGCTATTACACAGAGAAACCCTGTTTCAAAAAAAAAAAAAAAAAAGGTTTCATTTTAAAACTGTTTAATGAAAATATCTTAAACCGTAAGATACTTTCTTAACTTTTCGTTTTTTTTTTTCTCTTGTTATAGACATGGTTGTTTCATTGAAAAAAATTAGAAAATAATATAAAGGAATGCCATTGTTAGTGGTTAGGTATCAGTGGATCCACTTTCATTAAAAATTTGAGGCAGTGTCTCATATATCCCAGACTGGCCTTCAATTCAATTTGTAGCCTAGGTGACCTTGCATTTCTGATCTTCTTGCCTCCTGAGTGTTAAGATCACATGCCATGTCTAGTTATTGGGGATTGAAGTACAGCTTTGGCAATATAGAGTGCTAGGCAAGCACTCCATCAATTGAGCTACATGCCTAACCCATTTGGTCTCCTTTGGATAGGGAGATATGTTGCCTCTTTTGTTTTTGTTTTAAAGATCTTCCATGAAGGAAATGATTGAATAGTCAAATCATTTATAGGGGCACCTCACATGGAAAAACATCAGATCCATGCTGTGCTGTTGCATCTGCCCTATGAAAGATCTTAAAGTTAAATCAGTTATAGGTCTGATTGTAAAGTGTGTATTCTCTAGCAGAGGGTGTGGAGTTTGTGTTGACTTTTCTCCTTGGGTGAGATTACTGAGCGGGAGGCTGTAAGAAAAGGTGGTGTGTTTTTAGACAGGGTTTGCATGTTTGGTCTACTCTGCTAGAAAAGCATGGTGAAAGTGTCTGGAGAAAGCTGGAGGACTGTAGGGACCAGGCGGCATACATAGTGCTAATCAGGAGCAATGTTGTCAGAACAAAAGCGGCAGGGAATGCTGGCTGTGGTCTTGTACTATTCTTTGATGTGTGTCTGGAATTAACTGGTGCAGAGAAGCAGGAGAACATCATAAGAAAACCCCAGGAGAAGGGAAACTCGCTTGAATTCAGAGTGTGTGGTGGCCTGGCTTCTGATAGAGAATAGACATTCAATGGCCATTTGTCAAGAATAGGAAGTTCTTCTGAGCATTATTTTATGCTATGGCCTTGCATGGCCTAGGTATTGACCTAACTTAGTGACTGGGAATGAAGAAGTGATAGACACATACAAAAAAGCTGGAATCATGTAAGCCAGGCATTCTAATGGAGTTGCATCATTATCAGCCCTGAATTGAAGAGGAGGATTTATGTATACAGCTGAATAAGGAGTTTAACTCAAGTTTAGCTTTTGTAGGTAGGAGATCTCTGTAGGGGAGCAGTCTCAGGGTGTAAATATCTGGGAGAAGAAGTTTCAGTGGGTATTTTCTGTACACACTGTCAACATTCACACATGGAACAGGGGGTGACACTGCCATTTCCATGGGTCTGAAGCATTGGCATCCTTGACATGGCCGTACTTATGTCAACAGCATGCATTCATTCAGGACTTCATCTGATACACATTCACTGGGGACTTCCTCCATGGTCTTAGATGGTCTTAGAGGTTCATGTCTGACCCCCTTTCCAGATAAGGTGCAGAGTAATTCATTAGGTTGCAGGAACGTTCAGGGAAACAATGACTATGAATTTGATACCATAGTTGCATTCTGTTCTGAACTCACAGCTTTTTTAGAAGGAAGGAGCAACAAATATTTGTTTATGAGACTTCTTTATTGCTTCCAAATCATCATTGGAAATATTGCTGTAGAAAGTGGAAGTCACTGTCAGGGACCACTATGTTGAGGATCCTAAGAGGGCAAGGCCAAGTCCTTTGATCCAGTAGGTGGTAGGAATTAAGCATTTTCCATTGTTTATGTAACAGTTACTTCAGCAGCTTCAAAGTGAATTGCTGTCTCGGAAGTGTTTTCCAACATTCACCAAATCTCTGATTCTCCAGACATCAGCTGGGTTTTCAGCAACTCTGTTCAATCCTGATACTAAGTATGGGAAGTCAGCACAGAGCCCACAGTTTAGGGGCTCAGCTCCCCAGGATTGACACCACATCTCAGACGGCACGACCATACTGTTGACTGAGTGTCATATATTGAGTTTCCACACCCCTATTCTAAGGTTTGATAATTTGCTCAAGTGGGTCACAGAATTCAGGAAGGCACTTTGTTTATATTTACAGGTAGATTGTAAAAGCTACAATTCAGAACCAGCAAAAATGGTAGAAATATATATCAGACAAGATGTTGCTGTAGCTTTGTAACATCCATGCTCTCTTTGAGTGCTCTGTTGGCGCCTCCAGGTGTTCAACACAAAGATTTCAGAATCTCCTAATTCAGGAGTTTTTATAGAGTTTCATTCCAGGCCTCATGCCTCCACAGAGGTTAGGGATTGGACCAAAAGTTCCAGCTCCACAGTCACTTGCTCATTGTTTTGATCAGGATCATGGTGACACTGTATAAAGTGACGTCATTCGAATAACTCAAATGCCAGCAATACATGCTGCTTTAACTAATAAAAGATACTCCTGTCTTTCTGTAAGTTTGCAGGGTTAGGGACCCTCTCTTTCATAATTCATGTTTATGTTCTCTTTCCCACCTTGAAGGGGAAGAGACATACTAATATATGTGTACATGTGTATGTGTGTATTATATGAAATACACATGCATGAAAGAAATGTGAACGTTGTCAGGATCAAAATAGAGTAGCTAGAACTAGGGAGTTACTAAGGAGGATTTCCTTTGCATGGTTGCCTGTTAGTGACTAGCACAAGAGTGTGGGTCTACAAGCTTGCACTGAGGCCACTGCAGCCTTATAAAGAAAGTACTTCTGTAAGGCCATCTTGCCAGCAACTGTTCTATCTCCAATACATTCTACCCTTGTTAATAATCATTAGAACCAACAGTTACTATTTTCAAAGATCTGATGTAATCATTTTTTCTTTAAAAGCACCCTTGCCTTTGACTTTTTTCTTCAATCGTGTATGCTATGTCTTAATAATACTGTTTAACAGTGAACCATTACAAAAAAAGGAAAAGTTGAAAAAGAGAGTGGAAAAAAGAAGCATGTTGACATAGGAGGGATTTTAGAAGTGTAGTCAAGGAAGGACTCTACAAATAGGTGCCCTTTTGAACATACCCATTGCTTCCTGTAGCATGTGCTTTCTCATTGTAATGCTCTTTCCAAAGAAATACCAGTAGTGTTTGATAATGTATTTCGGATTGTTCCTTTTTTAGATTGACATCATGCATTCATTGATTTTTCTGAAACATTTGGATTCAGGTTGACATTGCGCTTCTTTGCCCCCAGATACTTGTAACACATGTCTGTGGATAACTCTTGTTTATCACTGATATATTAATATTTCCTAATAGGAAACACTTGTTAAGTTTTACTAATTGTCTTACTAGTGCTCCTGTTTTTTTTTTCTGTCTTGATTTAAGAATGTAGTTTAGGATCACATATTTGTGTGTTACTGTATTTGCTTTATAGGTGAGCTGTATGTGGAACAGTGACTCTGCCACTGCTCCCTAAACTACGCCGTAGTCTTCCTGCTTTCTTTATAGGTGAGCTGTATGTGGAGCAGTGACTCCTCCACTGCTTCCTAAGCTATGCCGTAGCCTTCCTGCTTTCTTTTCACTCTGTGAATCTTAGTATAATGGTGGCTTCGTTTACATGTATAACTTTTCTCTTTAGAGATTGCTCCCTTTGGAAAGGACTAGAGGCCTGCCTAACTTTGCTTATGTGTGGCACATGTTATTCAGCATCAAGGATTATAATGTTGTACACATTTTTCTTATATTGGCCCTTATTGAGAAGTATCATGATCAATCCAGAATCTTTTTCTGAGGGCCTAACATGTATTTCTCTAATACATATTGATGAAGTTAATTTAATTCTGAGAAGGAGCTTTCTTATATTCTTGGTGTACACTTGAGGATCATACCAGTGCACTTCTTAAAATTTTAGTTCTTTTTGCCAGGTGTGGTGGTATATGCCTTTAATCCCTGAATTCAGGAGGCAGTAGCAGGTGGATTTCTGTGAATTCAAAGTCATTCTGGTCTACATATTGAGTTTTAGGCCAGCCAAGGCTACATAGTGAGATCTTGTCTCAAAAAAAATTATGAGGAGCTGGAGAGATGGCTCCATTGTTAAGAGATCTGGATGTTCTTCAAAGGACCCAGGTTCAATTCCCAGCACCCACATGGTAACTCACATCTGTCTGTACTCAAAGATCTGACACCCTCACACAGACATACTTGCAGGCAAAACACCAATGCACATAAAATAAAAATAAATAAATTAAAATATGTACTTATTAAGTAAGCAAGCTATATACTTAGAATATTAGTTAGGATGCATTTGTAATAGCAGATGATGCAACTGAACCTTGCTTATACAACTAGAAAGGGCAGTCATAGGATGAACATTTCCCATTAGTTTGAATCAAAGACTGGTGAAGCCATCAGAGCTATGGTTTTTATAGTGTTGGCTTTGTTTTCAGGTGAGCTTCCTTCCAGGTGGCACACTACCTTTAACAGTTGCAGATTTCCTGTTCCTATGGCACACTTACAAGAGCAGAGAAGACAGTTTCTTTCTCAGAGACCTCCAGCAAGCCTTCTGTGTCTGACTTTCAGCCTGACTTGAGGCATTAGGCCTATTCCTAAATCAGTCCCTGTGTTCAGGGTTGCACACAATTCATAGGACCATGGGACTGATGAGTCATCACTGACAAGAGAAAACGATCTCCCATGAAAAGATGGAGGTACTTACATGCTTTGGAGGGATCAGATTAGCCTGAAGCACTTGAGCTGTATATGGGAATGTGGTAAAAGCTGAGTGAAACATGGGGTACTTTATGAAAAGGGAAAGGATGTTATACAGGCAGCTAATATGGTGACTTTTCTTTTTTTAGGTACATGCAGAGCTTTCTTGAACTTTTAGAATATGAAAACAAGAGCCCAGAAGACCCACGGGTTTTAGATAAGTAAGTATGGTGCAATTTACCTGAACGTAAAAATATCTAGGCAAAAGAATATTTCAGTTAATGGAACTCATGCTTTGGGACTCAAAATTTTAATTCGGGCCTGGGGAGATGGCTCACTTGTTAGTGCTTAACATACCTGCACAAGTGTGAGGGCCTGCATTTGAATCTGCAGTAGTTAGATGAACACTGGTCAGCTATGGCAGCCTGCCTAGAATCCTAGTTCTTGGGAATCCCCAGGGAAGCTCTTAAGTTTAGCTTTCTAGCTAGACCACCCAAATAAGCAAATCTAGGTTCAAATGAGAGACCCTGTTTTGACAGATAAGGTAGAGAGTGAATAAGGAAGACAACTGAACTAACCTGGCCTCAACATGTATATGCATGAGAATTTGTGTCCTCACATTCTAACATGCATACACCCACACATACTATACACACATCTGAGAACACAAAAAACTAGAATTCACACAAAAGTTTTAATTTTCTTGTGGGTAATGAAATTATTGGATTTGTTTCAGTAATTAGCACAGTATACAAAGAATAATAAAACTTCAGTTAATACTTTATGACATAGTTCTTAATATATTTAGTCAGGGTGAACTGGACACCAGCTTAATATAAGCATTGTAGTGAATGTTCCATCTAGTGGTAGTTTTAAGAATGCAATAGCCTACATATGTACATGAAGTATACATGAATTATCCACCTAATCCATCGATTTAAAACATACTCTCCAATGGAATACTAAGAGTAGATCTCAGAAAACTGTAGTGATTTGTTTTGGAGAAGCGTAAAAGTGTGTGTGTGTGTGTGTGTGTGTGTGTGTGTGTGTGTGTATTTATACAAAACCTGAATTTTGTTGATGTTGCTATGCACAAAAACTACTGAATTCTCATGTTACTGGAAAGTATTTCTGTTTTCCATTTTTTGTTCTCCAGCAAACCATAGCTGTGAGTGGGGGTTTTCTCCCAAGAGAAATTAAGTATCTTCACCCTAATTTCTTCCAGTTTTGGGTGTATACAATGAATGCTCATGGTAGTCTGTTGTGCTGAGAACTTTCTTTTATTGTAAGTACAGACTTAATCCATATAATTGTGAGACAGACACTTGATTTGGACTGTTCATGAAAAGAGCTAGGGAAACACTATGCTACACAAACAACCTTGGAGCATTTGTTTCACTCAAACACGAATTCACAAACAAGGAAATATGGAGGTCAGAAGTGTAAAAGAATGTTCTCCAGGTTGTGACACTGCATAGCAGAGCACCTATGAGTCATGGTTCCTTTTCCTTAGTATACTGGTTCTTTGCATTGTACCACACGGCCAAAACAGCTGGTTCTAGCCAGGTAGCATAGGTTTATTTGCATTTTCTCTAATGGATCTGTGAAATATGAAAAGTTCAATATTAGTAAAGGAAGAAGTGAAAGGTGAGCTAGTGTCCTGCTAACAGCCCTGTCTGTTCAGAGAGAAGTTACATGGGACCACTAGCTGGGGGATCATCTATGTAAATCACATTGATCGTCATGATGGAGATAGAAAAGCCCAGGAGGATAAGGAAGTATTCTGAGAATTAATCCATTAAAGTAAACCTCTTCCCTTCAAGTAAAGATGTTTCTGCACTATAATGAATTGTTTCATTTTACAGATACTTAATTTATACATTGGAAAGAGGTATATGAAGAAAAATTATCCATTGTGAAATTTTTTGTGAATAATTGTGAAATTGGGCTTTTGGGGGTTTTTGTTGTTGTTTTTGAGACAGGGTCTCACAGTGTGGATCAGGCTGTTTTTACACTCAGAGATCTGCCTTTCTATGCTTCCTGAGTTCTAGGATTAAAGATATTAGCCACAACTAACATTTTCTTCTATCCTTATACCCTAAACATTCATATTGCATGAGTGTGAAGTCTTTTGTTTTTGTTTGTTTGCTTAGTTTTTTGAGACAGGGTTTCTCTGTGTAGCCCTAGCTGTCCAGGAACTCCTTCTGTAGACCAGACTGGCCTTGAACTCACAGAAAAATCTACCTGCCTCTGCCCCCTGAGTGTTGGGATAAAAGCATATGCCACTACCACCCAGCAATTTTTATAAAAAATAATGTCTACAGTAGTTCTTAGCCATTATTAATAGTTTCACAATATAGTCATATATCACTTAATGACAGATACCTTTAGAGAAATGCTTCATGAGGAAAATTTGTTTGTGTGAACACTATGCAGTATCCTCATACTAAATTAAGAGGACTATAGCCTTATCAGGGTACATAATCTTTGGGAAACACTGTTGTGAACAGTGTCTGTAGTTGAAATGCTATTGTGTAGTATGTAGCCAGCATTTACACACACAGACACAAGACACACGCACACACATTTGCTTTTTGAGACAGGTTTGTTTCCTGTGTATTTCTGGCTGTCCTGGCACTCACTCTGTAGCTCAGGCTGGCCTCGAACTCACAGAGATCTGCCTACCTCTGCCTCCTGAGTCCTGTGATTAAAGGTGTGTGCCACCACTGCCTGGCATATATTATTAATTCTTCTACAGATAGGTCATGCAATTTTCTCCACTAGAATTGAATTATAGACTCATTTGTAGTTTTTAAAAATATTTATTCATATGTATATGTATATGATACATGTGCATACATGTTTGTCATGTTGTGTGTGTGGAGATCAGAGGATAGCCTTGGGTGTTGGTTTTTGCCTTTCCTTTCCATGATTTCCAGGGATCCAAACTCAGGTCACCAGGCTTACACATCAAGGACATATATTCACTGAGCCATCTTGCTGGCTCAAACAGTGCTCTAAAAACAGCTTTTGTTTTCTGTCATGTCTCCACCCCCTCGTTCTTTATGTATGGTGTATGCATGTATGTGTTTGAAAGCAGTTTTTAAAAACAGCTATTCATCTTGTTCAGTTGTTTCCGCAGCATTGATTCTAGAAGTGGAATTATCTTCTTTGGACTTAGATATATTTTGTTAAGTTGCCCTTAGCAAATGTTCCAATTAGCGCCCACATGCAACCTACACTGGTTATTATTTATCATCATAATAAAAAAAGAACAGTTTCACATTGTTTTAGGTTACTTTGCTTTTGTGCTGGTAAATTGATTGGCATTTGTTCTTGCTTTTTCATAGATTTCCCCACTAATATCAGATCCTTTTCTTAGTTTCTCAGTAGGATGTTCATTTTCACTAAGTATAAGGACTCTTGGAGCTTCTTTTATTCATATGTGCACTTCTGAAATTCTACAGTCATCTTTGTTTCTTTGTGTTGTGTTTCTGCCCTTGTTAGTAAGCTTAGAATAACTTTCTTTATTTCAAAGTTACATACTTAATTCAGCTAATCTTCTTTTATTGTTTCTGTGATTTCACTAGCATTTTTATTTTTAAAAAAATTATTTTTGTATATGGCTTATGTGTATACATGTGTATGAACATGTGTGCATTTTCATGTGGAGATCAAAGGTTGGCATCAAGTGTCTTCCTTGATTGCTCTCACCTAATTTTTCCAGAAGGCTCTCTCACTGAACAGGGGACTTGATATTTTGACTAGACTGGCTTGTCAGGGATCTCCTAGGATCTCTACTCCAAGGACTCTGGGGTTACTGAGATGTGCTGCCACACCTGGCTTTTATGTGGGTATAGATCCTCATCACTTTACCCTTAAGCCATCTCCCCAGTCTCACTCTAACATTTTTCATTTAATTGGGGCTTAAGGCTTGAAATTGGTATATGATTAGCCCTGTAGGCCACACCTACTCCAACAAGGCCGCACATCCTAATAGTGCTATTCCCTGAGCATTTGAACATGAGTCTTTGTATGCCATTTTTATTCACGCCACCACAATGTGCAAACTGGTTCCTCTGGAAGAACAGCCAGTGTACTCTTGACCACTGAGCCATCTCTTCAGCCCCTTCCCTGTACATCTTTACAATAATGTGCCAGAACACTTGAAAATGATTTGTGTGTTTTATTTCAAGATGAGTGTCTTCCTGTATTGTCCAGGCTAGTTTTAAACACCTTGGCTCAAGGCCCGCCTGCTTCTGCATCCTCAGTATGTGGAACTATGGGTATGTGCCACTACTCCTAGCAAGTAAGTTTATTTTCATTGAGCTTTTCTTTTCTTTTCTTTTCTTTTCTTTTCTTTTCTTTTCTTTTCTTTTCTTTTCTTTTCTTTTCTTTTCTTTTCTTTTCTTTTCTTTTCTTTTCTTTTCTTTTCTTTTCTTTTCTTTTCTTTTCTTTTCTTTTCTTTTCTTTTCTTTTCTTTTCTTTCTTTCTTTCTTTCTTTCTTTCTTTCTTTCTTTCTTTCTTTCTTTCTTTCTTTCTTTCTTTCTTTCTTTCTGGTTTTTTGAGAGAGGGTTTTTCTTTGGAGCCCTAGCTGTCCTGGCACTTGCTCTGTAGACCAGGCTGGCCACGAACTCACAGAGATCAGCCTGCCTCTGCCTCCCAAGTGCTAGAATTAAAGGTGTGTACCACCACAGCCCACCTATTTTCATATCTACATTTCATCATGTTTTACTGCTGGAAGGTGATTGTTTCAAATTTTTGCTCATTAAAAAGTTTGGCATTCATTATTCAGAGAAGAAACTCTTGCTTTAGGACTCCATTTGTAAGTCCTTAGAGACTTTGGCCGGATTGTCCTCAGGTTGTCAGGAGAAACATTGATATGTTCTCTAATTCTTTAGTCAAAAAAAAAAACATTTATAGAACTCCAAAATGTAAGTGCATTTCTAAAAAATAATTTGAACTTATTTTTAAACTTTATTAGAACGTTTTACTACTTTGTGTAGCTCTGAAAGAATTTTGGTAGTAAGTTTCAAACCAAAGCTTGGGTTAGGTTTTAATGTTTATGACTACTTCCTTTGCTGTCTAGTAAAAGTAATGTTTATAGTTATAAAGATGCCAGCAGATAAGTAGACAGAGGTGGGAAGTGTGTTCCATCCTATGAAATAGACTTAACACATTTTGTTTCCTTCCTACACAGCTTTCTCCATGTTTTGATTAATATCAGAAACAGACACAACGATGTTGTTCCCACAATGGCCCAAGGCGTGATTGAGTACAAAGAAAAGTTCGGATTTGATCCATTTATTAGCAGTAACATCCAGTATTTCCTGGATCGTTTTTATACCAACCGCATCTCTTTCCGAATGCTTATTAACCAACACAGTAAGTTGGGTTATGTTGGGTCCTGTTTTTAAAAGGTAACCCTATTGATTTTTCTGAAAAGTTTTCCCCTTGCTTCACTTTTAATTTAGACTTTTGATTGTAGAAGTTTCATTTCTAGCTCAATTTTTCTTAAGTGAACCCTTTCTATTATAAAAACCTGTTAATGAATATTCTTGATTTGATTCAAAGCTGTCCCTGGAAGAAAATAGAGGCAGTACTGCAGCCTGGCTTTCAAGGGCTCTGCTGCTTGCTACATTTCTGTGGAGAGAAGGAGCTGGTTTTAATGATAGCCACTTTAATTTCTCAATGATTTAATGTACCTGGGAGTATTTCTTCCTTAATCCATACATGCATTTTCTTTTTTAGTTTTAAAAACATCAAAACTGGGAATGATGAATTGGCATGTTGGATATATAAGTAAGTCCCTTTATTCCAGAGTGATAGGAAAATCCGAGGAAGCAATATTATCAGTCCACGATGCCACATTGAAAGTTTAGTCTGTTCCTCATGGTGATAGATAGGGAAAAATCTAAAATTCTTTTCAACATAAAGAACTTCTTGACTGATTTCTAGTGCTGACACCTTGGTTGATTTTTTTTAATTCTAGGAAAAAGGATCCATATATTTGTAGTCATCCTTGCTGAAGCAGAGAATGGACTAAGCTTGTTTTGTTTGTTTTACTCACTTTTTGGTTTTTTTTTAAAAAAACTCATTTGATTTATTTAGATAAACAAATGTTATAGAACTTTTAAGTATGTATTTATTTAATTTTTAGAAAACAAATGTGTGATGATTTATAGAAAAAAAAGGGGGAACCTAAATACCAGTCAGCTAATCTACTGAGATTATAGCAATTTTCCAAGTGTTGATTTAATATAAAGTATATCTATAAAAATTTGGCTTGAGTTGCCTTTTTCCTTTTTAGATTCCTTTTGCCTTTTTAGATTCTTTAGGTTTTTATTTAAGAATAAAAGCTTGCAAGTATTGTGTAGAGTAAAATGGAATACTTTTCTGCAAATATTTGAACAAATATTGTTTGTGTACACAAAATTGGGAAAGAACCTCCATGATGAGGGCATTTGCAGTGTTGCCCATGAAGGCTCTTCACAAATGGCCCAGATTGCATGTGCATATTTAGTGACTGGAATAAATGGCTGCAATAGTCTTGAGCAGGGAGATAACCTACCAAGCATGGAAGTGTCTTGATCTAGTTTCCTTCAGCTGAGGGAGCAAGGATTAGGCACCTGACGTGTCACTGCTCTAGGATCCTACTGACTGCAACTGATGGGACTTAAAGTACATCCTTCCCTGCTTTTGGCTATTGTATTTGCTCACCCATCAACTGTATTGCATTATTCTAAGTCATTGTGGATACTGAAATGATTCTTAAAAGATCCTTTTGACAATCAGAAATTTATTTCTGTGCTCAACCATCCCAGCTTGCTGTGTTTTAATCCCTTTCTTTCTCTTTCTGTGTTCATTTAGCACTTCTGTTTGGTGGTGACACTAATCCTGCTCATCCTAAGCACATAGGGAGTATCGATCCCACCTGTAATGTAGCTGATGTCGTGAAAGGTAAGGATACCAACCCAGTGTCACTGAACATGGCAGAAATAACATTGTGGTTTATGTGAGGTAGCTCAACTGTAGAGTTACGTTGCTGTGTAGTCTGTGGTTCATCAGGCCATGTTAGGTCTAAGCCACTTAGTCCAAATATGAAATATCTCTAGATTAGGAAAGGATGAATAATTTCTAATGTTCAGATACCAATTTGTACTTCATTGCTCAGGGTTGTAGTTGTAGTTCTTTCTTAAACAGTAAACATTTCAGGAAGTTCTAAATTTTGACTTGCCATCATTTTTTATCCATTTCCTTTTTTTTTATAAAATGGGACTGAGTTCACATTTGCCAAATCTACATGTCTTTCTGTTGCATACTCCTGGTGTTAGAAGCTGTATAGCAAGTGGGCTTAGCAAGATGGACACTATGCCAATAGTCCCAGGGTAGAATGGACTAGATATTCATAAATCCCTGGTTAACTGAGGACTTTGAGTTTGAACAACAGGTTCTACATCATTCCACATCATTCATTTAAAATAAATGCTATATCAGGAAAACTCAACTGGCTGTTACCCACCAGGTTCTAGTACTTAAGTTGTTACATTGTGCAGATTCATGTTCCCAACCCGTTCCTTCCCCAGATTGCATTTCCTACTCTGCTTCTCATCTCACTTAACACTCAGCTGATAAGCTGACTATACTTCTTCCTGGTTTTCATCAAGGACCTTGGTTGCTTTTCAGCAGCCGCTGTTAAGGACTGCCTGTGCACTATGTTTTTCTGGGGCTGCCTAGGTCACTGTTTGGTCAGAAGACATTTACTCATATTATCTCATATTATTTCACTTGTGCCTTGTCTCTTGAACTGTAGTGATGTAAAGGCAGGGAATGCTTTTTTACTTGTTTGATAATGTATGTAGAACCTTGGAGTGCCTATAGAGATAGACAATAAATATTCTCTGCCTTGATAAATTTTAGACACTTAAAATTGTTAAATAAATTAATGTGAGCCGTGAAGAGATGGCTCAGCTGTTAAGAGCACTTGTTTTTGTTTTTGTTTTTTCTTTTTGCAAAGGACCCAAATTCTCTCCCCAGCACTCACATAGTAGCTCACAACTGTCCATTTCAATGCCCTCTTCTGACCTCTGGGGGCACCAGATACACAGACATACATGCTAGCAAAACACACACACACAAAAAAAAAAGTTAAAAAAAGTATTTTTGAGAAATTACAAATAAAAAATACTACACACTGAAATTAACTAGTCCCAAAGTCTAGTTTTTAGGTGTGATTTTTTAGTCATAGCACACAAAAAAAAAAGTTAAAAAAAAGTATTTTTGAGAAATTACAAATAAAAAATACTACACACTGGAATTAACTAGTCCCAAAGTCTAGTTTTTAGGTGTGATTTTTTAGTCATAGCTTTAGAGGTACAGTTTCAGGAGATACTAAATGTCTGTACATGGTATGAAATAAGGGATTTGCTTCAAAATTAGACAGGATGGGGAATGAAAAAAGACTGGGCCTCTGTGAAGAATAATTGAGGCTTTGATGAGTACATGGGGGTTTATTATACTGTGGTTTACACTGGTACATGTTTGACATTCTTCATGGTAAAGTTTGGAAAACACTCATTTTTATTTTTATTTTTTTAAATTTTATTTTATTAGTTCAAATTAGGAACAAGCTTGCTTCAGATGTCAATCCCTTCTCCCTCTCCCTCCCCTCTCCCCCAACATCCCACCTGCCCCTAGCCATCCCCCCTCCACTCCCCAGGCAGGGTAAGGCCCTCAAAAGGGGCTCCCCAAAGTCTACCACATCATCCTGGGCCAGGCCTAGGCCCTTCCCCATAACACTCATTTTTATTATCATTGTTTCTTTACAAAATAAGGTCTGACTAATTTTTAGGGAGGTTATAGCTGAGAACCTGTGGAATTTCGTGTTAGGAGTTTTATGAAACTTAATTTCTATAATACAAAGAGATCAAGCAATGCTACAGTGTATCAAAGGCTTTGTAGAATTCAAGAAGGAATTCCCAAAGACTTGGCTCTTAAGGCTGAAAGAACTTAAGTTTTATGAGAGTTACTGTCAGCACTCTACTGTTATTTAGTATGTAATAACTACGGATCTTGTTATGTTGATCTCTGTCCTGTGCATAAAGATTTCAAGATGTGCCAGATACTTACGCGTTGTTTTTAGTGACAGATTTTATTCCAGAAACAAATTGCAGATTATTCACAATAGCTTAACACATATTTGAAAGAAAATAAGCCTGAAAGTTTATGCCCAAATCTCATAGTCTCCCTACATAAACCCATGTAGTCAGTCAGCTCTCTATTGATGTGACAAAGTACCTGAGGAAATCAGTTTATAGGAGAAAATATGTATGTTGGTTCAGTGTAAAAAGTTTCAATGCACTGTTGCTTGGCCCTGTCATTGTGGACCTGTAACAATGTAGAATACTGTGGCAGTGAATGTTGGCCAGAGCAAAGCTACTCATTTTATGGTAGCTGTGAAACAAAAAGAGAAAGGAGCCAGAGTCCCAATATCCCCTTCAAGATCAGTGACCTAACTTTCTCACCCTTATCCTCCATCCCCAAAGGTTCTCTCATCTTTCAATAGCACTGCAAGCTGGAGGCCATTTAACACATGGCCTTTAGGGCACATTTAGGCACAAAGCATAAAGCACCAACTTTCTTTGTTCATTTTACTCACAGCACCACTCTTTTCCTTTCTCCTTGTTCTTGCAATACTCACAGCTTATTTTTGCTGTGCTAAAGATTGAACCCTAGGCTTTAGACATGGTGGGCAAGCACTTTATTTTGAGATAGGATTTCACCATGTCTACCAGGCTGGCCTTGAACTCACTCTGTAACCCATGTAGGCTTTGAACTTGTTGTGATCCTTCTGTTGTGGCCTTCTCAGAAGCTAGGATTATAGGCCTACATTGCCAGGCATAGCCCACTCACAGGTTTATCTTCACTCTTTTGCCATTTTTAAAAATCTTCAGCACTGGGGAGGCAGAGGCAGGTAAATCTCTTGAGTTTGAGGCCAGCCTGGTCTACAAAGCTACAAAGAGAAACCATGTCTCGAAAAAACAAAAAATTCTGCCTGGTGTATTACAAATACAGTTTACTATATTCTGTTGTGTGATTTAGGGGGAACACAGCTAAAGTCTAGATTCTTGGTGAAGCTCTATGCCGTGTCTGTTATTTCCCATACTCCTGTCATTCCACTTCCTCCAACACACACACACCACACACATGTGCATGCGTACACATCCTGTCCCACACTTAGGAGGTGAGAAGGGAGGACTGCTGCATTCTCTGTTCCTCTGTGACTCTTTCAGCACTTTCCATGTCTCAATAGCCTCTTTCTCTAAGTTAAAAAGCATCCCAAGTACACACTGCTGCACAGCCCCATCCACACCATCAACTTTATGGTAGCTTTCCTTCACCTCAAGGTGTTTTCCAAGTATCTACGTTTATATAACTTTATTTTTATAATACCGGTGATTGAACTGAGTTATATTCGGATCCTCTTTTCACTTTTTTATTTTGAGATAGGATCTTGTTAAACTGCCAGGCTTTCTCTAAACTCAACTCTGTAACCTAGACAGGCCTTGAACTTGTCCTTTTGCATGAGCCTCCAAAGTGGTTGGTATTACAGCCCCGCACTACCAGACCATTTTTTGTTTCTTTAGCTGTGAAGAGCTTCCATAGTTAAATGGCCATCCCAAATGAACCTATCTGATTCATGTGCTAGTGTGTACACACATGTGTTTTACAGCATTCACAAGTTTTAATGAACTAAAACTGGTCACATACTTAGGCCTTTTGAGACAGACTACAGAAAACTTATGTAGAAGGTAAGAGTACTATTGTTATTTTTGACTAGACAGTTGTATAAAGGTATAAACGTAGGGGTGCATCCAGCGTAACAATAACTGAATACAGAACTCTCTTAAGCATGCCTCCTTGTGGCTTATTCAGCACATTAATTTGTACCTTTATACATCTGTAAATTATAAACTCAGGAGGGAATGCTAGAATTAGTGTTGTAAAGCAAGTCCTATTATCCTTTGGAAGGAGCCTTCTCTGGTCACCCTTTTCCCTGCTTTCTTTGTAAGAATCCAGAAAATTAAATGGAAAATCCTGTGATGAGAGTGTTTTAAAGATACAAACTTAAATCTTTGCTTTGGTACAAAAATTGGCTTTGTCAGCCATGCTAACTTTGTCATATCATTTTTATGTTATTATCGCTTAGCATAATAGCATACAAATGCCCTTCTGAGTGCATGGTATTATTCAGCTCAGAAATAATATCTTATGCTCTCAATTTGGTCTCCTCAGGTTGCAAGTAACAGACTCACTCTAGCTCCAGAAATAGATTTATTAAAATAACTGAGTAGGTCCTATGGTCAGGACATGAAACACTTTATAGCCAGAGCTATAGACACTGGAATTGGGAAACAAAAATACCAGGTTGTGTTCTGGGTATCTTGCAACTGGTGTTGCCCAGTTGAGACCTCTCTACTTGCCTTGTTTTCTTTTTTGGGCATGCCGTAGTTAACTTGACTGATGCCTACTTAAGACAATGTCAAGCACTCTAGGCCTCCCTATATTCTGATACTCCTCAGTACTCTTGACTTATGATCATCCTGAATGTCCATCTTGAGTTTTCAATAGGTAGATTTCATTGTTTCAGTTCATCTTGTTTTTACCTGTGACTACAGCCCTGGATATTCATTGTCTTTATATTATATGTTTTGTCTGCACTTCTCCAGTTGGCTATGTTTATGAGGGTTGGAGGATCTACTGTGTTGAAAAACTAGAAAATTCCACTTAGGATAGATTCAGGGTAGGAAGGCTAATAATGTATATTGCATTATATTTCTTTGTAACTTAAAGGGGTTTTTAAAAAGTGGCATATCAGTTCTAGAAATTTCTTTCTGAGGGAGCCCATGGTTCAGTCTGGTCTTTGTAAACATCATAGATGGCCAGGGTCAAAAAAGTGC